CACTTCGCTGGGCGCGCGATGTGCTGGTGCTGGCTGCAGAGCTTCTCCTAACGACAGGAAGGCCCCCGAAGCACATCTTGGCCCGGACTGCGGAGCAGTGCGAAACGCTTTAGAACTGCACGTAATATTGCGCTTTTTTAAAATATCAAATACGCAGAAATGCAAAGAAATATGCTTGTATGCATTTATTGGAACGCCAACATATGCGGTGTGAGGTGGCTCATGGGTGGCTCAATGAGGTGACCCTATATGAAATAGCGAAGTTCGTTGGACATGTCATTTATAGAAGGATTATTCGCATCAGGGGCATCCAACTATATTGGAACACCTGGGGACTCTTATAGCAAGACAACATATATTGAGAAACGTGTGCGAGTAACACTTGCGTCTCATGAAAAAGCATGCAATGCTTCACCGCATGGCACGTGCCACAAAGCAGCACCTCGGTTCTGATTTTCTTTGTCAATGTGAAGAAAAAAATTTTGTACAACATTCGTTTTTGATACTGTTTCTGGGTCATTTATATAAAAATGTATATTCTGAACTTTCTTTGGAAACATTTTGCATATATAGTGTTTTTATCACACTGTTGATCAGCTGGCAACCAAAATTCCACACTTTTTGCAATTTCGTTAATTTTAAAACATTTTAGTTGCTCAAACACATATACTTTTTGGAAAGAGCATTTTATTTTGCAAAGCTTGATATGCTGCAATGCGTGCTGAAGTGCTTTTCAAACTTGTAAAAAAATACATGGTCTGCCCGCATCTCGGCAATATGACGATGAAAACAAGCAACGTTACTACTCACTGTTTCCACGTCTTATTCCTTCGAGCCTTTTTCATTGTTGCTCATTATTCAATAACTAATTAAAAATACTTTGGTGTTTCGATTATACGCTATACGATTCATTATTCCAAGTCTTCGATTATTCGCACACCTGTAGCGAGAATGGATTTAGAATTTTCTGACATCTTGTTTTGGGCACACACCTACGTTTAATTTGCGGTAGCTTTTACGCGCACCTGTCACATCCAATGCATACGTGGAAGAGGGACGCAAGGACCCTTGTGTTTGAGCATTCGCACTGTCCTCAGCGGTGCTCGACGCTACAACGCCTCCTTACTTCATTTTAGGCAACCAGGCAATGGTATACGAACAGGCCTCTGGTACGCTTCCATGCGATTACTTCACTGTAGTACGAGTCCCTTATGTAGGCTTTCTTCCCGCTGCTGTTGTGCCCCCCCCCCCTCACCATCTTTTTTTTCTCGGGTGCTCATTTCAAAGAGGTTAGTCGGAACGATGGGCGGCCTATCGAAAGCTGTGGCTGGTAAGGGTCTGTACACGCGTTATCCGCACAGCCGTATCGTGTATCGGCGACGTTCTTTCGCCCTCTGCTTGCGTGCGGCAAGTGTCCCGGCACGTGCGATGTGACTGTGCGGGTAGCGCGCGTACAGGTCTTGAAGCAGAGCGGTGGGCGTCATTTCAACCACCACCTCCCTCAGGGAGAACCCTGAATAACCAAATACAAAGGTGTAAATAATAGGAATGTATTTGTTAAACAAATAATTTCATACTCTACTTGCTCTCTAAATTTGTGTCCGCGTAAGTGCATAAAGCGTTTAGACAGCCAGCGTTTATTGAGTCGCCGAAAAAGAAAGTTTTAACTAACGTTGTTGGTACTTTTATGTTTGAAAAAGCTTCGCAAGTTCTTCACAATGTCCATACAAGCGGAACTAATTCGGCCTTGCAGTGATGAGAAACTAGTTACGCCTTCTAGAGGTGCACATGATTGTTTAGAAATAAGGCAAAAATTGAATATATTTTCTTTTGCCGAGTTTAAACACTGGTATTCGTAAAACTTCATAATACGAATATTTTTAAAGCTTATATTGAGTCATTTTTACCAACCGAAGTAAGAGCATATTGGCATACCATGCCAACAATGACGATCTCAGCTGCTTACTGTAATTATAACAGAGTGTAGGTTGTTAACTAGTTGTCAATATATTTTCTAACGTGATAATAGGCGTACCTATAGGAACTCATAAACAAAAAAAGTAGCAATGGCGTTAGTGCACGCAAATTTATATTGGTATACACTATTAGCCGTGCTTCCGTTGGTAAACGTCATGAATTCTGGGTTCCATACTGCGGCACCAAAAATCATTGACTGTTAACAAACAAGCCAGAGTTTTCATTACTAAAAGTGCTCTGTCTTGTGTGTATGCGCTAGTTCATGTCCGTAACAAGGACAGTTCGACTTTATATGCATCATCACATAAAAGACAGGAGACACAGCAAAAATATATAGATATATGCGATGCTTCATTAGTTGACTTAGCGTAATGATTATGCAAAAAATATTTCTCTTCTAAAAGCAAACTGCATGAGAGAGACGTGAACACACGATAGTACAGTACAAAAACACAAGTTATGTAACACAACATATGGATTATAACATATTGCTTCTTTAAGATTACCAGATACGTATACCTTGCACTACAGTTTTGAATGCGATCCCTTCTTGCCCCAGCATAGACACTTTGACCATATCTATTAATTCGCTCACGTCAGGGTGCTGTCACCGTTTCGTAAAGTTCGTGTACACCAAACACCCTCTTGCACTGAGCAAATTGCTCGAACCGTAGTCACCTCCTGATGACAAGAGACGTAAACTTCAAAGCGCCGTGTCAGCGATGGTGTCGGCAACGATGGATGCAAAGAAGGAAAAGAAGCGGCTCAAGCCTAAATCAAACCCAAACATTCCGCAGGGCTCTCAGGTGTTATACCACAGAGCCATGTCATTACCTGAAACTGCGTCTGACAACTGCTTCATTTTCAGATGTATTATTGCGTGGCAGAAACGTAGACTCGCAGTAGCTTGTGAATTGCGCAACTAGTGGGTGGTTAAAATAACTTGTATTATTCAGCAAATTATTATAGGTCATCATGAGCCACAGCAGCAACGAAATGTGCTGCTACGTCGGTACAGCTATTTTTTTATTTCCTGTAATAGATGCACCATTACTCGGTAAAATGATGCGGGATCAAATCCCGGCTGCGGCGGCTGCATTTCCGATGGAGGTGGAAATGTTGTAGGCCCGTGTGCTCAGATTTGGGTGCACGTTAAAGAACCCGAGGTGGTATAAGATTCCGGAGTCCTCCACTACGGCGTCTCTCATAATCACATAGTGGTTTTGGGACGTTAAACCCCACAAATCAATCAAATCAATCAATCGGTAAAATGATAAACAGTGGCGCAACGGGTACTTTGTATTCGGAAGTTACTTCTCTCGTGACTCAGCTGAAATGTACACGAAGAAGCGAAACATGGCAAGCGAATGAAAAGGTGGTGGCAAACAGGGCAAATTACGCTATCGCATTCCACTCCTAAATACGAAGATAAAACATTCCACGTTTTGTAGTAGACAAGTTTTTAGTGGCGTTAATGTTCGACAATATACTGCCGACTGATAGATGATACAGAAAGATAAACTAAACGCCAGTCTAGCCACTATCCTTGATTGTGAAAACAGGGCAAGATGACGAAAAAATGAGAAGAAATGATCAAAATAGGTGTCTGAAAGTGCACATTAAAATTACAAAATCACCAGCCATTCTCTCAAAGTACAAATGGAGCTGTAGCCTCTACTGCAGAAAAGCTGAATAATGAATTTCCTGGGGCTGTTTAATCAAGTGCGCAAGCAGCTGCGCAATATAGTCTCAAAGGCTGGAAATTGAATGCATGACCTCGTGCCTAAGGACAGAACGGAATCGCTGTCACAGTAAAAGCCGCTTTGCACGGTTACAACCAAATAGTAAACCTCGCTTAAGTTAATCGCATTCGCCAATCTGCTTCTAACACAAGCATCCGCTCCTCTCGACGCGTTTTACGCATACAGTATGCCACATGCGACATGACTGTGTGTTCCACCGATAGGCTCTGATAAAGCTGGTGTCTGAATGGTCGGAGATGATTAAAGTGGATTCGAAAGCCCCCCCCCCCCCCCCCCCCCCCCCCCCCCCCCCCCCCCCCACCCCCCCCCCCCCCCCCCCCGAAATCAGAAACTAAAAAAACAGAAAATTCACCCCAGTCGGTTCCAACTTCAGAACAAAGTCCGAGTCCAGAACTGCAGCACGCCTGCCACTTATCTGTGCAACGGAGCACTGCTAATTAGATTTCATTGTAACCGTAACTACTTTTTTGCTGCTAATGTGAATACTGCACATATTAGTAATTTAAAGTCAGTTATGCCTAGTTAAAATTTTTCGTCTTCCCGGGCAGTGTCCAAAATGGTGGCTGAAACTTGTTACGAGGTTCAACTTCTTTATTCGAAAGCTAGCGACGCGCACACGCGTTTTTACAGGAGAATTCCCCACCTGAAACACGCGAGAGGTGATTGACGTCCCGAACCCGAGGAAATGCAATAGCACGGGGCGTCTCTGCAACTCTTCTCCGGGTGGGATAGCGACAGCAGTGGGAGCAGCTTATATTTATTATTTGGTTGCAAACAACTACAATGTAATAGTACTGCTAATTTTCTAATCTGGCTGTCTTTATGGACTTCACTAAACGCAATTTCTTTATTTTTAGTTTCGCAGTCATTACTGCGAAGCTTGCAAAATAATTATGCAGCTATACAGACACGTGGAAAAGACCAATCTTTCTGTAATTGATAATATTTAATAACAGAACACACATTCTGACCATTTTCGTTGTCTAGACTACCGTTGTCGAGTTATCCTTGAAAGAGCAATATCGCACACCTGGGAAGCCGCGCGGTCACGACACCGTTGAACGCGTCGGCGCTCGTCGGGCCCTGCGAGCACTCTGCGGTAGCTGCAGCACTGCGGGGTGCCTCAAAGTGGCGGTTCGCGGCGAGCGCTCGGCGCGTGCGGCGCCCAAGCAGCAGCCAAATGAGAAGAGTGAAAATAGGCGAGACAGCAAAAGAGCAGCATTGTCTCAACGGCGTCTCGGACCGACATCCGTCCTCCCTCTCCTTTGTCTGGCCGCGAGGCGCGGCCCGCGCCGGCCACTGTCGAAAACCAGTTGGCTATCAGGTGCGCCCCGAGTGAGGGGGCCGGCTCGTTTGATTATAGCTGCTCCCTAGTGTGGCCATATCTTGAAAAGCGAGAGGAAGTGTCAAGAATTAGAGCAGAATTCAGCGCGCCGAGGAGGAGTATACGCACGCACTCATTATTAAGTGCATCCAATCTTCCGGCATGCCGGACGTATATAAAAGGCGGGCCCTCCGCCACCCAAAGCAACAGTTCAGCTCTTGACTGCACAGCCGAGAACGCAGGACCGACCATGAAGACCATGGTAAGCGCCACCTCGTGCTCGCTAAGACGCCGTATAGCTGACGGCTGTGGTCGCTGGACTCGTGCGCCGAGCCGAGTGCCCGCGGCTGCCACTGCTGCAGCGGGGATATCGGCTCGGTGCCGAAGCCCGAGCTCGCCCTTGATTTTTTTCTCAGCCGTCTGTTGAAGGGTTTTTAACGTCTCACTCGAGGCTCCATGATTGATAAAGATGAACAAGATGAAACAATAGCAATACTTATAAAAAGCTGAAAATGTGGAGACAGGTAAAAAAAAGATATAAGAAAGGAAACAGGAGGAGTTAGGCGAGGAAAATCCGTGAAAATATTCATCAAAGTCAACCAGCAAAATGCATGCTGGAATTCATGACTAAACGTTATTGATACTCTCCAGTCTAGCATGATGGCGCCACAATGTAGAAAATAGAAAAAAAATGTATGCGTGAAGTGACGATCTTGTCAGACACCAAAGGGACACGTGACTCCAAAGAGACACGTGAAATGAATTTTGTTTTTATTTCAAGCTATTGCTTGACACACATTGTATCTGGCTCGCTTGCTCAATTGTCGTTGTTCAAAGTAATCATATGTCACTATAGTTGTATACCAGTGACATTGTGCTTTTCATGATGGCTATGAGCTGGTGCACGGGTTTTTTTGTGCAAAATACAAACAACGAATCTGGTGCTCATGTCCATTTTGCGACCGTTGTTTTATGACCAAATTCGAAATCTGTGCCTTTATTGCGAAAATGGAAGGTGAAATTGTAACTGCAACATATGAGACTTTGTGAGTTTAATAGCTAAATGAAATAATTTGTAGGATAATCGTAGAAGCAATCAGTGTAACGAGATTATTTCAGGCATGCTCATCAGCTGCATAGGCAAGGGTGACGCAGCATCTTCTCCAGATGGAAGCCTTAAGAACAAACACACTGGAGCGATCTACAATCTTTGAGTGGCCATGCAATATCATTCAATACATCATACTGTGTAACTGATCCTTTACGCAGGCTACTTGAGTTTATTCACACCACTTGGAACCAGTGTGATCAGTATATGCGAGACAAACTGAACAGATCTGAGGGGACACTGTTAAGAGGATAGGTCTATACAGTCTGGACAGCCTGGCTGCTGGTCCGAAAACTCACGATGCCGCAATTTCAGAATTGGGCAGAACATTTAAAATCATCTTTTAAGCTGTGACGCGTGCCTAAAGAAGAGAAGGGTGACAATCCCCTATACGATTACGGAATATGTTCATTTTTTCCTGCAGCTGGTTTCCCTGTTTGTGAGCGCCCTGGTCGGCGTCTCTCTGGCCGGCCTCGTTGGATATGGTGGAGGCTACGGAGGTGGCTACGGCGGCGGCTACGGCGGAGGCCACGGCGGAGGACTCCTTGTCCTTGGTGGATACGGTGGCGGAGGATACGGCGGCGGTGGAGGATACGGTGGCGGCTACGGAAAATCCCTTCCCGGGCCATCCTTCCTCATTAAGAGCGTTCACCACGTGAGCAAGGTCAGCCACGGAGGGCCCATCCTGGCCAACTACGACCTCGGCGTCGCCTACGGTGGTGGATACGGCGGAGGTTACGGAGGAGGCTACGGTTTCGGAGGTGGTTACGGAGGCTACGGAGGTTACGGAGGTTACGGATTGGGCGTTCTCGGCTACGGCCACAAGGGCTGAAGTTAGAACGTCTTCACTCGTAGTCAAAACACGGACGCAGAGCGTACGGTAGTATAGTTTAGCCGAAAGACAAGGTTACATTTGCAACAACGTTCATTTGAACAATGCAGCATGTGCCGCAAGAACTTTATAAACCACGTATAAGCAGATAGAATTACAAACAAAAAAGACAGACATCAAAAAAAAGATGCTCACGAGAGAAGTTTTGACGGAACCAGCATGAGTGAGTGTATATAAAGCATACTGAGTCGTAGAAAGCGAGTGCATCTAGTAGAAGAATCACCCTCATCCCGAAGCCTGCGGACTGTGTTGGCTCTTGCGATGTATATTTTGTACAAATGAGATCACACGGCTAATAAAACAGATGTACAGGAAACATTAGGAGCTTTCTTTCTTTTTTCTTGTTTGTCTATGCTCGCAAGCAACACCGCCTAGTACATGAAATAGAGCGGATACTACGTGCAATACTTTTTTCCCGAGAAATGCAGGTTTAGTGCTCAAAACAGAACCGCAGGAAAGGCGTGCTTTGCTTCGCATAAAAAAAAAGCTATGCAGATATAGAATGTTTTTCGCATCTGTAAACAGTGTTTTTACAGCAAAAATTTGTGCAATGATTCAATTGGTTAAAGCAAATGATGGACATTATGAAAGGTGGTAGAAGTTTGTTGTAAACATGATGACGCAACCTGTCAACATACTATTCCAAACCTGGTGCCAGTATTTAGTACAATAACTTTTAAACACTGACATCTTTGTTAAACTCGGATTTTATTCGATGTTATAGTACTAGTTTTCAGAGCTCGAGTGTGTCGTGGGAGCGCGCATTTAGCTGTGGCTGTCGTTATTTATGGGTTTCGTTACTTTACTGTCTTTACCGAACTGACGCATCGGGAAGCACGATGTGTTATTAAGCTCCATACTTGCTTAGATTTGCGGTTTAGGGTGACGCATGATATGAAAAATGGACGAAAATAGAATTGGTGGAGCGTAAACAAACACGCTAACTCTGCTCTATTAAGAGGCACCGACTCCCGTGAGTCTAAACAAATGGCTCATCACTCACTGTTCAGGTGCACATACAACTATTATTTGCAGGCTATAATTGCAGAATGAGACATATACAGGAAATGAGAGGGCAGGCAATCACTGCTTGTAATACAATTACACGTCAGACATACAAACGTTTGTCCTAACAACGTTATTTGGTCCACCACGGTGGCGCGATCATGGCACTCGCCTACTGACCCAAAGGTTACGGATTGGATCCAGGTCGCGGCGGTCGCACTTCAATTGAGTTGAGATGCTAGAAGCCTGAGTACTGTGCGGTGTCAGTGCACGTTCAAAAACACCAGATGGTCAAAATTTCTGGAGCCCTACACTATATATACACGATCTCTCATCATATAATAAATTTTGGACGGAAAGCCTCAGGTATCATTATTAATCGCATTTTTAGATATATACATACGGGAAAAGTAACTCAAAACGCACACGTCACCAGTTTACCGTAATACTGATTACTTTCATTGAGGCGTACGCATAAGTCTGCCCTAAGTGAGATGACAATGGCTGAATACACCGTCTACAATATTTACTGAAATGTGGTGTTAAGCAAGACTTAGAGGCACAAAGCGAGTATAGCGCAGCCTCTTAGCGTCGCGCTTGGACCGGCATTCGACGGAGTCAGTGAGCCCGGCTGGGCTCGTGCTCGAAAACGTAGCCCATGCATGGCTCTATGAAGTATTACATACTTGTAGATATTTGACAATACCACTGCCTACCAAGAACTTGCTGTTTCTCACACGCATTTGTGGTTAGATAACTGCAGAGATTTTTGTCGTCTGATAGTGACCCCGCCAGAACGATTGATTACTGTGATGACCAAGTGAACCAAACTGGTTTAGGCTGCGCTATTTTTATTGCTCCATCAAAAAAAAAATGACAGGGTTCGATGAGCACTAACTAAAAGAAGTGCATTTCTTTATTATGCCACGTGCCAGCTCCTTCTTCACAAGCACAAAAGACATCTATAAGGAACTATAAACTATGAACGGACACTCACGAAGCACCAATAGCGCAGGGAGTTGTAAGTGTCGTAACAATAACTCATGATTAACGAACATGACAGAGATGACGAGTAAAACCAAACGAAGTAAGACTAACATGTTTACATCATAACTGCAGCAGCTTTTCCTTTAATGCGGTACCGTTAAACAGTTCGTTTCGCAGGCATTCTGGTGTCGCCATCGGTGTCGCCGTCATTGTTTGTGGGCGAAAAATAATCATCTCGCCCATGATTAAAAAATCTAGAAAGATGCAAATAAGATGGCATCACCCAGGTGAAACAGAGAATGAAAGAAAAAAAGACTAGAGATATAAATAAAGAAAAATGAAGGCAGGAAAAACCGGAAATAAGAAAAGGAAAGACAGATAGGAGAAAAGAAAGATAAAACTGAAGAGAAACAAGGAAGGCTGCCCCGCTCCACGCCCCTTTCAGGCTTGACACTTCTGTAGTGCAAAGCTGCATTAATTTTCTTTTGTGCTGTTGTTGCCTTCAGACATTCCAAAAGTATATGTACGTTTTGTTCGCACACAAAAAAAAGGTAGATCTCACGTAGAGTGGCAATCGATAATAAAGGAATCATGAATGAGGAAGGTTGACATATCACTTAAAAATCAGCACAACGTTACGAGGCCCACGGATGTACACAGTAAGCACAAATAGAAATCTTATGCGCTCTCAGGTATCTAGATAAGATGCAAGCATGTTGTTTATAGTCGTGTAACGACGGTACCACTAACGTTTGCAATACCAGCACCAGAGGTGAGTGGGATGTAAATTAAGCTATACATGATTTCAATGTCATGATTACCATGTTTACGCCCGTCATTTGTGTTCCTCGTCCGTTCGAGTCAAGTAATCCCAAATTTGGTATATGTGAAGCTGGCGAAATGACCGTGAGTACGCTATGAGCGTAGCTTGTGGTCATGTCTTACATGACATGCATATCGTGATTATCTCGCTTGGTCGTTTCACTTTCCTTCAACATTCATTCACATCACGTAACAAGTTTGGTATATGTAAAACTAACAAAACGGCTGCGAGCGCATCATGATCATGGTATCTAGTGATGTTCCTACATGACACGCATATCATGGTTATCATGTTTGCACCAGTCATATACTTCCGTCATCCATTCACGTCACGTAACACAATATGGTACATGGGAAGCTAGGCAAACAGCTGCGAACGCACTATGAGCGTAACATGTAGTCATGTTTTAAATGACACGCATGCCATGATTATCATGTTTGGACATGTTATTTCCTTCATTGTCCATTCGCGTCACGTAACATTAAGTTTGGTATATGTGAAGCTGGCGAAACGATCACGAGCGCGCCATGAGCGTATCACCTGTAGTCATTACTTACATCACATGCATCTCATGAGTTCCACGTCAGGGCCTGTCTGTTATATTCGCCATGCAGTAATGCCATATCAGACCTGTTTTGCAATAAGTCATGCGAACAAAACCACCACAAGAGCGGCAGGACCATGAAATTACATACATGTAATAATTTTCATGCTATGACCAGTCACTTATGGTCGTCATGCTGTCATGTTATGCCATACCAATTTTGTTATAGATCCCATCATCGAAAGGGCCAGGAGAGATAAAAGTCGTAGGCGGCTAGACAAACAGACAGACAGACAGACGGACAGACAGACAGACAGACAGACAAATAAATAAATAGATAGATAGATAGATAAACACAAAGATAGATACGCTCAAAATTGTCGAAGTTCATTAAGAAATGCTTCGCCTTTAAAATCTAGCTGCGCTTTAAATCGCTTGTGAACGAAAACGCCAGGAGCAGCGCGTAGTGCCGGAGTAATGTGTCAAGGCGAACGGACATGTTCTGTTTTTCAACACTTTCTTTCAGTGTCACATTCAACACACACACACACACACACACACATATATATATATATATATATATATATATATATATATATATATATATATATATATATATATATATATATAATATATATATATATATATATATATATATATATATATATATATATATATATATATATATATATATATATATATATATATATATATATATGAGGGAAAGAAGTGTATACCAAAGGGAGTATACATATTTACATTCCATTTGTTCTAATAACTTCCCCTATACATTCTTTGGCATTATTGTCTGTTAGATCTCAATATATATATATATATATATATATATATATATATATATATATATATATATATATATATATATATATATATATATATATATATATATATATATATATATATATATATATATATATATATATATATATATCAGGTTTTTTGTCACCCTCTTCGGTCGTGTAACGCGAGGCCAATGAAAGTTTCAGCAATTGGGAACTTTTTTGAAGAAATGAAAGTTCAGCTGCCATAGCCAACTACCGATAGCAGGGACTCGCATAATAAGAAAGAGGAAGAAGAAAAAAACAAGGCAAGAAAATGATGACAGCAGTCTCAAGCTCAGCAGTCGTACTAAAGCATTAGTTCCGAGTGGAAAGTGAACATTATTGTTTACTGACGCGAATTAGAACAATGGCTTCTGCGCATAGCAACACATCAGTGGAGTTTCACGCTACGTCCCAGCAGCGGCTGCCGTGACAAGCGCTCATAAGTTTAAAGCACCGATGCATGTTTAAATAGGTAGGACGCATGAGCTCGAGTATGTTGTTTTACTGATGACACTTGAAAAAGGCTCTCTGAAGAAGAACTGGCTGCTCGAAGTTGTAGCACAGGGCATTGCTTGCCTCACATGTTGGAGGCTGCAAGGTTACTTTTCTTTTTATTTTCCTCATAGCCTTTTGTTTATCGTACAATTTGTCAGGGAAGAAGATCACTCGCGTGAAAAGTGACACTTATATGCACATTTTTTTTCCAATCCGTAGCGTTCTGGAGAATCGCATGGGCAGTAAACTGAACGCATTTGATGTAGAATAAACATAACCGTGTATTTAAATGAGGCGATGTGAGATACGTGCTTTAAAGACAGAAATCTCTAAACGTATTCTACAACAGGAAACGCAAGCATGCTTCTTCACGAGACTACGAGGCGGGAGATGTAGTGATTTTTTTAGAAGCAAAAACAAAGGAAACGCGTGGTCTTGTAAAGTGGGACATAGGCGGTTGAGAACATTAGAAGAATTATTGGTGAAGACAGGGTCATAGAAACAGCGTTGATATCTACTTGTAACGATGCATTTTATTTAAAATTTACATGTTGCAAAAGAAGAAGACAGAAAAAGGGAAGGGTGGGTTAACTAACAAAACGCACTAGTTTTCTCACTTATC